TGAGACTTGGAGAAGATTGTCAAAGCTGAGTTTCACTTCACTTTTCCAGGTGTTTTTGTTGTCTTGGAATATATTTCAAAAAAGAAGGAGAGAGACTTGATGCCAAACAATCCCAAAGCACAGAATCAGAAACACGATGATTAAAGCACAGCGATCAGACGTTGGATTATAAAAACGTGTGGGTGACAAGAGAATCCTCTCACCTCAGAGCTGACAAACACAATCTGAGCAGAAAACTCAACTGAAGCAACAACAAACAACTTGTGTAGAAGCTGCTGAAATGACGACAGGGAATTACAACACTTAGAAAATTTGTGAAGGAACGACTGAATGTGTTTTGTCCCGTTTCTTGCAGGGAATTGCTTTTAAACAACAATCTTTTACGAGTTCTGCCTTACGAACTTGGGAGGCTTTTCCAGTTACAAACTCTGGGGCTAAAAGGTGAGTCTTTGATTGTTATCGTCTTTTTTTTTTTTCCAACCATAAACTTGATTATAAGTCGGTTATTTTTTGTGGAAACTTTCCTAAAAATTCAGGATCCTTCTGCTCGACCATCCCTTATTTAATTGAAGCCTTTTTTTATTAATAACTATGAGTATTTATAAAGATACCTGTGAAATTTTAGCTTTTAAAATCAAACACTTTTTGAGTTTTTAATTGCCTGAACTTTCAGACGTTTTTTTCTCACTTTAAAACTCTTAAAACGACAACATCTCAGGAACTACTAAAGATAAAAACCTGAAATTTTCACTGTTATTTCTTGACATTTCAAAATTATTCTACATGTTTTGTTTTGTATTATTCACTTTTTAATGTTTTTTTCTATATTTTAGCTCACTAATAATTAGAGATTATTATTATTATTTGATGTACTTGTCCAGTATTGCAGATTCAATGACATGATGGGAAATAATTTCAATAATTTCAGGTTTTTATTTTTAATAGTTCCTGAGATGTTGTTCAAAGAGCCTCAATGTGTGAAAAAAACTTTCTGAAAGTTGGTCGACGGGCATGTTTTAATAAAAACATTTGTGACATATCAAGCTAAAAAATCACAAATATCGTTCTAAATATCCATATGTTATGCTTTTCGGGCAGTTTTGAGGCAAATCAGACTCTGTAGAGCAGAAATCATCATTCGAGGTTGAATTCAGTCGTTGTAAATCGGTTGTTTTGCAGGAAATCCTTTGTCCCAAGACATCCTCAATCTGTACCAGGAGCCGGACGGAACCAGAAAGCTTTTGAACTACATGCTCGACAATCTAGCAGGTGAGCGACTCGGCCGGTTCACCCGACGCTCATGCATATTTAACGGAGCGCTCGTTGTAGCGCCGCACGCTGCAGGTATTTCATAACGGCAGCGCTATTGTGCCCGCTGTGGACAGATGAGCACTAATCCCGATATTCCCCCGCCCTGCCCTCCCTTGTTTCCAGTTCACCCAGAGCAGCTGCCCCAAAGACCTTGGATCACTCTGAAAGAGCGAGACCAAATGATGCCCACAGGTGAGTTTATCAGTGATGTTACACCTGTTTGTTTGGTTATTTTCATTTATTTATCCCTCTGAACCCCTAAAACCTGCTGGCGGGTTTCCATCCAATGCATCCTATCTTTAGAAATTAAAAAAATCAACAAAATGACACCATTTATCAAAATGAGAAACAGTAAAAATATAAAAAAAAGTCATATTTCCAACTTTCCAACTGTCCTTGAACGAATCATGTGTGACATGCGGTTCTGAAATTAACCAAATCTGACCATAAAATCATGATACATTGCATTAAAATCACTTCATTTTACATCTTTCATTTTCAAAAAATCACCTAAAATAAAGAGTTTGCACCAGATCCTGCACATTTAGTGACGTAGCTGCGACCAACAATCAAATCAGGTTTACTCTCATGTTGCTGTACAAACACAGCAGTACAAGCAAGGTGAGAGAGCGTTTCTTCAGCATCCAATAACTTAAAGCAATTTAAATAAACAAGTGTTTGCATATCTGGATCAGCAGTTCAGCGTTCTGACAGTTTGTGGAGTGAAGCTGTTGATCAGTCTGGATTACCAACAGTCACATGATAAAAAATTCAGGAACTTCTCGGTTGAACTGCAGTCTGTGTCTAAACAGAGCAGAGAGAAAACAACTATGTACA